CAACAATTCAGGCACCTGGCATTTTCGTAGAGGGTCAAGCCGGTGGGAGCACTGTTACTGAGTTGGCAGTGGCTCAAACAAATGGCACCTAAGACTAAGCCTGCGAAACTATAGCTCTTGAATTTTCTGAGCCACACCAAAAAAATCGCCACACCCAAAAAGGTGGCCACACCCAAAAAAATAGCCACACCCAGAAACCTAGCGTCATGAGGCAGCCCAGAAAGGGGTCGTTTGTCGGCGACGCGCGCCTGCGGTCCGCAGGGCTCCTGCGGCAGCTCCTGCGCAGCCGCAGCAACTGGGCCCCTGCTCCCGGCGACCCGGGCTCAGCCGCAGGTGGCGGGTCCTACCAGGCGCGAAGCGCGAAGCGCGACCGAGAGGCTTTTGGTGCTCTTTGAGGGTGCCACACATGTGGGGGTTGATCAGAAGGTCCCTTACATGGGGCCTTTTGGAAAGCCACCAATATGACTGTCACCATGGAAATGGGGAAAGTTGGTCATCAGGGGGTCAGGAGCATTGATATCAACCCCCATTTGAGCCGATTTGAGCTGCCAGGACCGGTGTGTGAAACTGAAGCCAGCCGCTGGACCAGAAATCAACCTCCTGTGGACTCAGCAGCTTCGCTTCACTTGGGTGGGCTTTGTGGGCCTCTTGGTCTCGGTCCTTCCTTGTATTGAAGCTATGCCGTACTTCTGTTACTTCATTGCATGTCAGTCCGTTCAAGGATGACTGCCTCACCAGGTATCGCTCTTTGTCCTTCCTCAACGCGATGGCTAGCAACACGCGAGGCGTTTGCGTGTCACTCAATGAGGAGAAGAGCATCAAGCTGAAAGCCTGCAAGGCAGAGCAACCGGGAAAGTCTTGCATTCCAAGAGTGTCAGCACTAAGGGGAGGGCACAACATGGAGTACTGGGCACCCTCACAATTGCAACCGGGGTACAACATGGTCGATCCATGACAGGCACCAGCAAAGGCAGAGGCCCCTGTGCGATGTCACAATCACTTCGAAGGCCAGCGTTGGCCGCTGCAACTGCCACGCAAGTGCTTGCGTGAGCAGCCAATTGCCATGTTCGCCGGCGTGGGTCTTCAAGTTTGAGACAGTGATGCGCCCTGACTTTTGATAGGCAGCGGCTTGATTTGCACAAAGAAAGGGCTGTGTCGGAAACTTAGTCGCTTGCAGCATCTAGGTTCACAAGATTTCACATGCATTTCAGACATGTGTTGTCACGTTGCTACGTTTTCCTACTTGGAGCGCGCGCTGCATTTGCACAGGGATGCTAGCATGTGGACGCATGCTGCATTGGCGCGATTAGCAGGGTTATTGGATGGAGAGAACAAAGATGCGCTAGAAGCACGCTGGCCATGAACCTAGCCTCATTTGTACGGCACGTGATTGCACCCTTCATGATTCAATCAGTAATCATGTGTTTGAGCTGGAATGCTTGGTCGAGGAGCAATTTCAAAGAGGCTTCCGCCCAGTGCTGCCGATCTGCTTTGAGCAGATTGAGCAACTCCCAGCGCGGTTTGTCTGAGTAGCCCTGTAGAAAGCCAATCTTTTGTTCTTTGGCTGACAGCCCCTTCAGCATCGCCGTGGCGCTTCTGAAAGAGCCCATTCAGCCAAAATGGCTCAGACAACAGGCCGAACTCTGGAGTCACCACAGTCATCCACGTCGCAGTGACCATGCGACAAGCTATATACTACTTTGCGGAGGCAACCGCAGTTTCACCGTGAAAGAGCCGTTGCTGAGACACGCATGGCTCAGTCAGGTTCATAGAGCTCCCAAACGAAGCTTGAAATGGTTGCTGCTGCACAGCCACACATCGTCCAATTCCTGGACATTCCTGGACTGATTTTATGATGAGAGTAAGGATGCACACGAATGAGCAACCCAAATAACATTCTCCAAATCCTGCGCAGCTCCCCCACATAGCGGGCCGGCGGATTACATGATTTGCTTAAAGTGGTCTGAACAGCTAAGCAAGCTTGGTGAGTGCGTACGTGTGCACTTGTGTGTGTGTGTGTGAGAGTGAGTGAGAGGCTTTTGACTGGATTCGCAGAACGGAGTTTGCGTCCCTTTGCGTGGCATCGGGAGAGAAGCCCTTTGGGCCCGGCTTACGGAAGCCGTAAAGCATCTCTGATGCGTTCCGCCCCTTAAGATCCAGCAAGCCCAGAAGCTGAGCTTGCCCGCAGAAGCCTGCCAAGCGGGGAATCCTGCCCCAGCGCTTTAAGGTCCTGCCTCAAAAAACGAAGCTTAAGCACGGCGCATAGACTACTGACGATTGATGCACACTTGGCGATCGAATGCCAGAATCGGAGGTGGGGCGCAAACAGGGTGCCTGAAGTCCTTCCATAAATCAGCAATGGATCTCCGCAGCGAGCAGGTAGCACTGAGACGCCTCACGTCGCGTAAGTTGTCGCATTGACCTGGGGTGCTGCAGGCCCGCTTACTACAGCCTCCCGGGCTTCTGCGGGGCAGGAGCGAGCAATCCAGAGCGAACGTCGACGCGTTCTCGAGGATGAACAACGGCTCAAAGAAAAGCGCGCTCGTTCGTGCAGAGCAATCACTCTTTGGACGCGCTAAACTCAGACTCAAATGTGCAGAGGCGTGCTGCAATGCTTTGCCCGGCTGCTGTAGCCAAGTTGTAGCAAGGGAGCGGGTGGGTGGGTGGGTGGGTGGGTGGGTGGGTGGGTGGGTGGGTGGGTGGGTGGGTGGGTGGGTGGGTGGGTGGGTGGGTGGGTGGGTGGGTGTCACTGTGTTTCACTGTGTGTCACTGTGTGTCACTGTGTGTGTGTGTCTGTGTCTGTGTGCTTGTTGTGACACGACGTGTGCCGTGCCGCGTTGTTGCCTCTAGTTTGAACAGCTCTTGCCGGATCATTCGTTGACCCACTTTACCTTACTCCCACAGAAGCGTCACAGCATGTCACTGTCACGTCATTTGGATCAAGTTCAAAAAACTTGCTTGTAGGCAACGAACTGGATAAAGCAACAGAAAGCACCAAGGCAAACCAGCAGAAATGCAGAAATGCGGAAGACGAATCCGTAAAATGCTATGGAAAAATGACATTGCCTTGCACGCGCGCAATTGTCGGTTGGCAAGTTTCGGTGTCAAAGCGCAGCTTACAGCCTCCTAGTTATCACACACGAGCACAGCATGTGTGTCTACACAGCATACGCTTACTTCAAAGAGCATGGTGGCGCTTCTTGCGCGTAGCGCAAGAACCGTGTCTCAGCCTTGTGACTCAAAGGCAGCTGAGGTGAGTCCATGATGGCACTCTTCCTTCAAGCCAAGCGCGATCCATTTGGCGCTTTGCCACTGACTTTTATCGTCCATGGAAGCGAGGATCCTCAGAGCCTTGATTTAAGATGGCGACCTCTAGCTGTGATTTGCAATCTTCGAATAGCTCCAACCTGCCAATCGTTGCATGTCGCCAAGGTTCGCAGTGTTTGAGGACGGGAATCGGCCTGAGGTTGAGCGTTGCGTGCAGCCTCTAGATCTGGATGCCTGTGCTTCGACGGGCCTTACGTTGCAGGAAGCTTTTACCTCAATTGCAGCCGGGTCCAAGCAGACGATGTGGATCGTGAAACCTGCCGAGTGGGCCAACCGCGGCTGCGGCATCAGCAGTTTCGGCAGCATTTGGGCCCCGCGTTGCGTAGATCCAACCTTGAGACAGCATGCACCGGAATCCGTTCAAGGCAGGCCAAAATCGGCCGGTTTGATTTCGGGCGCTGGGGGCGTGTTGCGAGCTGAGGAATTTTCAAGACCCTGGAGGATGTCAGAGCTCGGGTGGACTCGAAGGACAGAGTTTGGGCCATCCAAAAGTACATCGAACGGCCGCTGTTGGTCCACGGACGCAGCCAGGCCAATTTCAGCTGAGCCACAATCAAAACCCGGGTAGATGAAGGTTAGCAAGGGGCAGTCCCAGCCAGAAATTGTTGCGGCCGCCTTCTTAATTCTGTACATGGTTCTGAGTAGACCATTTTAATACCGGGTTTTGATTGTGACTCAGCTTGCGCTCCAGTGGAGAAAGAGTGTGCTTGAATCGGTTAGATGAGCTGAGGCAAGTTTGACATTCGAGCGAATCTCGTTGGCAATTATTGAGGTTGGTTCCGCCACTGCATGACTGCATGGCTGTATCGCAAGAGCCTGCCAGCATCTCATTTTCAGGCATGTTAAGCAGATGGTGATGTCAATGCCTAGAAGCCGGCAAGCAACACATCCTTCGAAGGGGCCGCCCAAGGTACTGCTTGGTGCTGCAGCAGGGCTCAACCCGTGGCTTTGGCTTCAGGGACGCCTATCTGCGCACCACAAGCGCCCCGCGACACGGCCAGCATCCTTTTCCAAAGTCGGTTGCCTTGAGCAAGAGAAACTCAGAGCCTCAAGATATCGTTTCTCTTGTTTTTGTGGCAGCTCAGGTATACCACCAAAAACTTGGACAGGAGCTCCGGATTTGGTTTCTCAGGGCGATTGGGTCCCGAGTATTGCTAGGATGGTCCACCTCAACAACGATGCAGTCCAGAAGAAGGGGGACAACTACGGCAAGTTTGAGTCTGCCAACAAGTTATCCTTGGAAGAGTTTCAGAAGTACTTAGATGAACATCATGTGACTCAAATCGCACAGAGGTTTTGCTTGAGCCAGACATTTGGAGCGCGCGGTTGCGCCCAAGCTCCCAGGCTCGCAAGGTGAGTGTGCGGGAGGATCTCATGCCTCAGATTCGTGGCTTGATGGCCGATGCTGCTTGGCATGACCACCGGTTTTGGTGTTCTCGATTGGGCTCGCAGCCGCCAGGCGATCCGATCAGTTGCTCACAGACTGAATCCTCGCAACATCGAGAACTGCTTTGAGGCCGGACTGCAGGAAGCGTAGCCATGGTCAGAAGACCGGGGGTTGTCAGGGATGGTAGTTATCCAGGTAGTAAGGATCCGTAAATAAGCGGTAACATGATTCTTACTCAGGGAACTGTGGCCACAGGCCATATACGGTTTTTTGACCATGCCGCATGTCAATGCCGATGTCAAGATTTTCGATTCACATTTTGCCGCAATGGCAAAAGTCCAACATTTCACCCTGCCCGCGTGCTCTATGACCCGGAGGTATTTGGATTTGACTTCATGGCTCCTTGGCTTGGAAGCGCCGGTCTCTACCGCAGGATTTTTCAGGTGATGGGACTCTGAGTCAAGCTTGAGCTTTGGCTTGCTGAACTCAGGTGGATGCTGATTTCCGGGTTTGGCTCATTGAGTGCAATGCCAATCCTTGCTTGGACCTTTGCAGCGCTTATTTGGCCCATCTCATCCCCAGCATGCGGCTGGGCTGAAAAGCGTGTGCTTAGCTCGGTTCGGCCTGGCGTCTGGCGTCGCTCGCTTGCCTGCTATGCCTGCTTGCTTTCCTGTTTGCATTGTTTCACAGTTGCGGCTTGCTTTGGTTTGTCACGGCGAAGGCTTGACCAAGCTCTTCGTCTCACCGTAGATTGTATCTTCAACCAGGACGGCGGCAGCTCTGCTGCAGTGTCTTTTTTAAGGGACCCCCCCTCCTTTAGCTGTGCTTCGAAACCAACCAAGAAGGGGTTCCACTAAGAAAGACACCTTAACTGGATGAATTGCTAGCCAACGCTTTTTGCTGGCCCCAGGCAGTGTGGCAGATTCCACGAAGTGGGACTTGCTGTACGACTCAGCGCAGGCTTGCAGTGCATGCGTCAATCGGGCTTCTGCGTTCTCGGGCTTTGGGCTGTTCAGATTCGAACCTGCTAAAAAAGAATACCGGCGAAACCAGGGGCGAAGGTTTGCAGACTCGTCGACTGCCAGGCCGTGTCCGATGTGTCCTGTACCTGGGTGGAAGAGCTGCCTCAGGGCCACCTTGCTTGCACTGATCCAATTTGGGGAGCCCCGGTCCATGCGATGCATTCCAAGTCTGAGGTTTCACCCACGCGTCGCTGGGAAAACAAATCCTCGGTTCTCACAAGAAGCGAGGACACCTGCTTGGCCCGCTGATAGTTCTGTGCTGCCATAGCGGACAGCGTGGAGAGCTTGACATTGTTTGCAGGAAAGAAAGCAGCTGCGATCTCCCTGAAGGAGCTTGGGATTGCCATGCGCATGGATTGTCACCCAATGAATCCCTGCCCAGCTTTGATCGGCAAGGAAGCTTCCAGTAGATCAGCTATTGATGACGAGCATGCCTCCAACAATTCAGAGATTGCAAGCGAAAAGACATCTTGGCAGCTCCACCGTATTTGGAGGTTGAAGAGCGACAGAAAGAGCAGAATTCATGACGCAGAAGGATCTTTGGGCTGAAAGACCTGAGGTCATTCCTGTCCTGCTTCCGTTGCGGACCACGCAGGCGCCGCCATTTCAAGGGAGAGGAATTGTCGTTGCAGTAAAGTCAGGCCTTGGACATCCTTAAGAACTTTGAGGAGATGTGGGGGTGTCTCAAAAATAGGGGGACCCGGAGAATGTCGGTTTTCAGTTTGGTCCCCCTCTAAAACAACCAACAAAAAAAGTACCCTCAAGAAAATCACACCCATGCATGTGGCAAGGGGATGCGAAGACTCACACTGCAAGTCGCAAACTTGGCGCAGGAGAGCGCAGATTCCGTACGCGATCCGAACGCTTATGTCATAGGCACTGCCAGGCGGGGATCCCTGAGCAGAGGCCAAGCATTGGCGAAACAGCTTCGCCAGTATTTGACATCAAGGCGAATCAAGGGCAACATCTTGTGTTTCCTTTGCGTATGCAAAGGCGCAACCACTTCTTAGGTGTTTTTCAGCGTGGCGAGGGATTGAGTATGGCGCGCACTAATCTAGAGCAAGGCGTGCTGCTGCCGGTGAGAGCATTCGTTCCGCCCCTCGGGAAGGCCGCCAGGCGCGGTTTTTGAGTTGTCCTTTGCTAGAGATGTACGGTACATGGGTCCGTCTTTTTTTGCTGGCAGCCCGAAAGAATGGTTGGTTCCTTTCGGTTTCCAAAAAGGGCACTTTCAACGAACCATACCCATATCAGATTCAACTTTGACCCTTTTTTTAATGACCTTTGGCCAGTCCTCTTGTCGCTAACCTTGAGTCACTGTCGTGGCCGGCGTTCCTGCAAGTCGGCGAGACACGTGCCCGAGCAGTCTGCGGCTTTACTTGCTGGTTCTCAGGGAATGAGAAATGGAATGACCCCTATGGTTTCCTTGAGGGGGTCCCTAAATTCATGTCCAAAATGCTGGGTCATTCCCTGCAGAGCACCAGCAAAAATGAGTTCGTTTGCGTCCCTTGGGAATTTCGGTCCCCATGCCTTCCCTCCCCCTTTGGGGAAGGGAGTATCTTTGTTCGAGCTTGGATCTCCGCATCAGTTGCCAAAGGATTTGACCCACAGGAATTCAGAAGAATCTGCATTTTGACTTTTTCATTTTCTTTCCTGCGGGATTCATTTCTTTTCTGTGATTTGCCACCATCAGCATTCCCAAAATCCATGAAAGCTGTCATGAATTGCTCGGAGGCACCACCTGAGCCTTCGCGTAGGCGCGCCGGACTGTTGGCTTGGCTTGTTTTCAGTGCATCGAAGTCAGACTCATTGCCTTCATTTCATATTCTGTTTGTGTGCGAGTTGAAGTCCAAGGGGCCCAGCGTTGTTTGTTGGCCGCGCACGGCCGTTGCAGGCAAGCGTCAAGGCCGACGACTGGAGGTGCCAAGCGTAGGTTCCAATGACTGGAGTTGCTTCGCAGACTGTGGGCAGGATCCGGACGTGCAGAGCCGATTGGCTCCTTCAGTAGTTCAGGTGGGCGACGCGGATGCAACCGATGTGCTCTTCGGCCCGAGTCCTGTTGGACCAGCCCCATTCAACCAAGCGCACTCATGACATCTGGCTGTGGCTCAAAAACCGCTACCAACATGGAACCCTGGTAAGTGGAAACATGGACCAAAACCTGCGTAACCCCTCCTTTTTAATTCTGAGCCACACCCACCTCATAACCAAGAAGCAGTGAGCAGGCGTCAGCCCAAGACATGCTAGACATTGATACGCGTCTGACCATCCCAAGCAGGCGGCAGGCGCGAAGCCAGCAGAACGCCTAGAGCTCGAGGCGACGAGGACAAACTGAGGCGCGCTGCGTGATGTCTGTTTCAAGGCTCCCAATCCGTTGGACCTTGTCGCGTTTCACTTGCCAGGGGGCAGGTGAATTGGCTGAATGACCAGGCAGGAGCTTGTCCAAGCGATCTTGGGGAGTGCTTGGGGTCGATGGCTTCCAGCGCTGTGTGTCGGTTTGGCCCAGGCAGGGCTGCAGACGCCCCTGGATGAGGAGAGGGTGGTTCCACAGCTGCAGCGGGCACCTGCCTCAGTCTCAGTGAGGGGCTGTGGAGCTTGAGATTCGATCAGGTGGGCGATAGAGACGCCATGCAAATATTGAAGCGTGCGTGAGCCCAGCCGTGACTGCGAGAGATGTGAAAGGACAGTTTTTAGACCCGCACACCTTGAAGTGAAGATTCAACATTTGGTATTGTGACAGCTCATGGGCTAAGGTTTAGAAGATAGCGCCGGCAGCATTCGAGATCCAACGGCGTCAGCACCTCAAGCACACAGGGCAGTGGATCTACATCACAGGCTTGAACAACGAATGACAAGAATAGTAAGTCTATTTGTTTGTACGCTGCGTGCAGGTACGTGATATCCGCGCTTCGGCGCGTTCTCGATGGAGGGAAGGCGAGATGGCCGGCGTTCAATGGCATGAAAATTCATTGAGATCATTTTGAACTTTTTCGCGAGACTTCCATTGTCTCCCTGATTGTCCAGGGCGGGCGGCCTGGAAAGTGAGCTGGCCGTAGCGATGAGCTTCCGTGACCGTTCAAGTTGATGTGTCCATTGGTGTGCGGCCAGATTGCCGTGCTCCGCGGAATTGGGCATGACGAATGTGTTACCGCGTCCTCATGTTTCAGATGCAGAGGTTGGCACTTCTGTCAAGATGTGAGATGAAGTCGTGTAGAGGAAAAGGCATGATGTTGAAGCTCCCACAGTCACCGCACCGCCTTGTTCCCTGCAGCACAGTACCAAACGCTTGCCACTTTGCCGGGGAAGAAGCGTTTCAACTCAACATTAGCTTGGTCCCCGTCACGCCCCAAAGCCACAGCTGGGCCGGCCAACCATTGGCTCACAGAAAGTGCGGCATCCAGGCACAACCAAACGCATTGAAGGCCAATCTAGCAGTTGCACCTGACCACACGCAAGTCACATGAGCCTTTGTCACAGGAGCCTGACTTGGAGATTACAGCGTGCTTCACGTACCTAGCCAGATAGATATGTCGGCGCATGTGATGATTTAAATGTGTCAAGATCTGACCAAAGGATCGGGCAGGGAAGGCTGTAGGCATCGCTTGCATGCGTGTCAAGGGTGCCCGGGCAGGGAGGGTGCATATTGTCCAAGTTGACCGGACATGCAACTGGAAGCCGCTGTTGCATGGGCAACGCTGCGACTGTTCACTGTTGCCACCCTCAACTAAATTACTGGCAATGCTCAGCTGAATGGCGCTGTATGGCACGTAAAGAATTGCCTATATATGAGTATATATATATATGTATCTTTTGCGAACGCCAGGGGAATCTGCACAATCTTTGGTTTGGGGCATTTCTCAGTTGGATATTTATCCATACTCCAAAAATTGAAAGCGCATGGGATGTCCTTCCTGCTTGCAGGAGTGGGACGATATCTCCGAACGCATGCTGAGGCGTTATGCTTTGCATGACTGATTTGGTTCCTCCTTCGACGGGCCATGTGCCAACTTGCTGCAGGTCATGCAGGTCATTCTTGCCTCTGCTTGCACTGGCATACGGCCTGGCATCCGTTTGCTGCATCATCCTCTACCTGCGGTGCCTGGGGTATGCCGAAAGGGGGCTTCGAAGGGGGGTGGTAAGATTGGGGGCAGAAGGGTGGCTGTGATCCTTCCCCAACCCGGTTGCATTTGCGATATGCCTTTTTTGGCATGGACTGCCTTGCCTGCGGGCAATTCTTTAGTTTTGTGGGCCTCGCGTGAGCGCAAGGCAGATTCTGGACGCTACCGCACGCTACCTGCTCGCATGTGCAGACTCGCTAAGATCAGGTTGCTGCTGGTATCTGATGATGTTTTTGGCAAAAAAATGGTTCTGCGGCCATCCGCCCGGCCATCCGGCCCAGCCTGCCATCCGGCAGCTTTGGGACATGACCTGGACGTTGCATCGCAGGGTCAAGCTTATCGCTTAATTACCTGCTTCTTCCTGAGAGGTGAGCGCAAGCAGTGTTCTTTTTGCCCATTTCGCTTGCTGCGACGGTCAAAATTTGGGCGGGGCCTATTCGAGCAAGGAAAGCAGCGCATGTCTGAGATTCTGATGCCTGTTCCAGAAGGCCAGGGTAGACTAAGGTTGGAACTTCTGAGTTTAGCAAATGCGAATATAAAGATGCGGACAATTATTCTTTGGAAATGCGCCCCCCCACCCCCCACAGTCGCGGAAGGCCGCCGAAACTTCGCGGAAAGGTTTTGTCCGCGGAAGCTCGTGGAAGAGTTTGTGGCGTATGTTTGTGCTGACACCGCAGTTGTTTCGACAGGCAAATGACAATGGCGCCAACGATCAGGCCGGAAAGCCATGAAAGGCCGGACCCAAAAACGGAAAGTCCCGGAAGCTTTGCGGAAGCTCGGACGGGGCGCGGGCCAACTCTCTCGCGCAAGCGGCTCAACCTGGAAGCCTAAGAGCCTTAGGCTCATAGAGAATGCCGTCAGCGAGCAAGACTTTCCGGCAACAAGCAACCAGAAGACGAGCAATGCCAAGGCCCCCAAGGTCAAGGCTCGAAAACGCGGAGGCTCACGGAAGCCGGTTTTCGGCGGGAGCTAGTGGAAGTGCCGCAGAAGGGTTGGCGGAAGGTTGAATGATGAATTTCATGTTATGAACTAGAAAGGAATAAACAGCACATCTCATCTACATCGCGCGCTGTCTCTTTCTCCACTGGACACTCAAAAGTTAATCCCTTCTTTCTCGGCGTTGTTTGTAGTCCTTCTGTACTCCCTGCCAGCTTGCGGTTGGCACGCGTTTCCGTGCCAGCCGTACTGCTGCCTTCAAAAATGGAAGTGCAGAACAGGAAGGTTGCAGTGCTTGAAACGTTCATAGTTAGGCGGGTGAGTTTGTTGGGCCCCAGCACAAGCGCCAAAGCCTCGGCTCCGTGCATTGGCCCCAGGCGTCAAGATAGTATTTCTTTGCGTCCTCGAGATTGTCCGAGCCTTGGGGGTTTGAGCCGTTGATGTTCACTTCCCTGGTGCAGTGCGAAGCCTGGTTCGATCCGCTCAGCACATGGCGCTTGAGGCCAACAGCCAGACTGCAACCCGAAGAAGGCACAACCTGAGAGCCCTCGATGTGTGAAGAGTCTGCAGGGTGTGCATGCAGGTTTCTTTCAGTGGAAAAAGGGTATGCAGAGTGCGTTGTGTCTTTGGCAACGCCATGCCAGGCTTGGGAGTCGAGCAGCTTTTTTTGGAGCAACCCGTGCCCACACGGGTACCAGCTGGAGACCCATGATGAGAAAACCCATGGGGACATATGCCGGAGCGTGCAAGATGCCAGCTTCGCATGCCCTCATGCCTGCCAGAGGATGGCGCGGGCCCCCTGGTGCGCGGCCGGTGCCAAGCGAAAGTGCAAGGCTGACCTGGCCCTTGCCGAGTTTCGGAAGGGAATGTTGCCCAACTCGCAGACCCGCGGGTTGATGCACACCTTTTACGAGCCTGTCTGGAACGGTGGTGACAAAACTGGCACTCTGGTCAGTTGGGATTCTTGGGCCGAAAGGCAGCTGGAAGCAGAACATCTAATCTGACGAACATAACTAACCTGCATGCATGTCATGTCACATTGCACCATTTGCATTGAACTGCGAGCAGCCATAGTTGCCTCTTTAGGGGGCATGCTGGGTGAATGTCAGCATGCATACTGTGATACACTGTCATGTGTGTCCACTGAGGAGAAGGCATGGACAGATGCCGGATGGGAGACGCGAGTGCTGACGCTGGAGGATGCAAAGCGATCGCCAGAGTTCAAGAATGTGAACCGGCGTATTGATCGTATTCCCCGGGGTGGCAATGCAGAGTACGAGAGGCTTTGCTACTTACGCTATTTGGCAATGAATGCAGTTGGAGGAGGATGGATGTCTGACATGGATACTGTTCCGACGCGTTTGTCCCCGGACATTGGCTTGCCCAATGCTGGGAGATTTACAGTATACGCGGCTTGCTTGCACCGCTTTTGATTTTTGGGCACGGCTTTTTTTTCAAAGTACTGATCAGCCTTTGTGCTGCATCATGGGTAAGCACGACAGACTGTTCCGGATATGGTGCGATCACTGGCAAATGATTCAAGCTGGGGCTGCCAAGGCTAACTTTATACCTGCCCTAGTTTCTGGCAATGCTACAGAGTACCTTCGAATCGTTCTCAGCTTGACTGACCTGGGCCTTGAGCAGATGGGGCATAAACGCCTGCAACTTGGCTCAAGCTCATTTACAGAGGCCAGAGATTGCTCTGGGAGCTGAATTCAATGTCTTTCCCTGCTCTTAAGAAAGTTATGTTGCGATCGGCTGATTGGTTTCAGCAATGTTTGTCTGCGAGAAAGGGGGCGAACTTAAACGGGGGAAGACACACAGACACACACTAGGAATGCAAGAATAGGTGCAAATTCCGGGGGGCGGGAGGCAAGCAGATTAGAGAGCGCCGATGTGCACAAACCGGAAGCAAGTTCACCACACTGAGCAAGCAGTCGAAGGCACAGCTGTGCGAAGCTCGTGGCCAATATGCAAGTCTGTTGAAGGTTCGACTAGTTGGTTGCCCCCTGTTGCAGAGCACAACTACTACCCAAGCGGAGTTGGTAAAGACCGGCAAACTCGGCTGTGTCATGGTTGGCCCGCCCAGTCAACTTTTAGTGAGGATAAACCAACGTGGATCCGGGCTAAAAATGCGCAAGCCAGCAGCATTGAGCGCTAGAGCGGGAGACTGGCCGAATATGGGATGAACAGCCCATTGATTATTTGTAACTGAATACCTAGAGTACTGCTTCGCGAATTGCCCGCCCCCATCGTAAGAGGCAGCCAATCCACGACTGTGTGTTTGTCAAGGAGATGGACTGCAAATACGAAAGTAGATGGAATGCGTTGGCCCACACCGACGAGTTTTGAGATTAAGCGCGCAGTGATGTGCAAGAACTTGCCACTGTAATTTTCAGAGGGTGTGTTTGCGCCTTGTCCTTACGTCACCTTTCCCACCCCGCGCTGCGCACGCTGCGCAGCCAGCACAGTTGGCCAGGCTCTCTGGTTTGGTCGTTGGCATCAGGTACACCGATATGTTTGCCTTGAAGGATTTGCAGTCTCGCATGCCAGATGCGCCTAGGCTGAATGCTTTCTATTGTGATGTGTCCTTGCGCCACCCCAAATGGCATGTGAAACAAAATGGCACAGGGGGCAGATGGGACCCTGGCCCAGAAGTCCGGAACCTGACATGTTGCTTTGCCGGCGGAAGGCTTACTTCCCCTTCCAGATGGTTGCGGCAGTTGAGGACCTGGTGCTGCCGCCTCAGCAATTTTTGTCCATTTGCTTCCCGTGCGTAGCTGGCTGCTTTTTAGGCCCGGACATTGGCCGGAGCCTCTCGGCAAAGACTGGCAGCTTAGTGACTTAGTGGTAGGCGCTCGCTTGTGGCTTGATTTGACATGGGCAAGCTGCGAGCTGAGGGAAGATCTGAAATGCGAGCGGATGCTCACCTTCTCCTTAGCCATCCACGTGTCGCACGAAGCTTTTAAGACTTGGAATATGTCGATCGACCGCCGAGGGGAGGTCATGAGTGAAGTGAGGCGACACTGGAAAGCATGCAGGGATCGGCAACAGAGCCGAGAGGCGGCAGAGATGAAAGCAACAGTCTGATTTCACAAACCAATGGGATCGATCCCATTTTGGGGTTTTCGGTGCACCACCCATTTTAGAACCTATTTTAGTGGGGATTGGGATGCTCACTGAGGGTACGGGATTTTGACCCATAGCCAGATGACAAGCACAAAACGAGAGTCATCGGTTTTGTTAGGTTACTTTTGGGCTCCACACAAAGTTGCTTTTGACGCTTTTGTGCTTTCTGAGGGTTTTGCAGTTTTGGTGGCTTTGGAGCCTTTATGGCATGGTGCAAGTGGTTGGAGCGACGTTCAATGGCTTTGGCAAGATGCCGTGGCTTTGCTGGCTGTCAATTCATGTTGTGCTTGTGGTACCCTTCATGGTGCTTCCTTGCGCAGTTTGCTAAATGTGTGGCTTAAGGCGCGCCTTCCTCAAAACAAAGAGCAAATCACAGTGGCGACGCAGACGCGCACTCTCCCAAAACACGGCGCCTGCGCAGCAACGTCGCAAAAGTACGATTTACGTGCAGGCGCAACAAAAACAGCATTTGTCAATTCATGCAGATCGCACATTCCCATCTTTCCCCAGCGGCACATCCTTATATATCGCCACATTGTGTTACGAATGTTACGAATGTTGCGAACGGTTATGAACACCAGACCAACAACATCACGAACATGACCTCCGCCCCCATACCTCCACTAAAGCACGGGAACATGTAACTCAAGGAGGCTAGCTTGATTTTGTCCGTTAGCAAGGCTAGACTGAGCCACCCGCCCCAGCCCCATTCAACGCCCCCCTTCCGCCTCTCAGCAGCTTCGCTCCTTTTTCCGGTTTTCTCGCCACTCTTTTCGCTCCCTTCGCTTTACGCTTCCGTCCGCTTTTTGCAGCGTTTTGCTCTTGTGTTTCAATGCCGGTCCACCCAGTCTATTCACAGCGCACGTGTTGGTACCTCAATTGTCTTAAAAAAACACCAGCACCTCCAGACTTTTCCATTGTCTTGGATGCCCCTGTTATTTTCCAGTATATCTGCCCCACACCCGGCCACAAAAACCCCACTGGATTTCGAACTGCGTTCCTTCCCGCCACGTGGGTGCCATTAACAGCCAACCCTCAAGTTCAGCTGTCGTGCACGATTCCGCTTGCCTTTTCTCGTGTTTTCTAAATATATTATATATTTTGAAAAAAAAAAAAAGAATTGATAATATTAAATAAATGTTTAATTAAACTAAATAATAGAATATAAGATATTTAAATATTTTATATATATTTATAATTTTGAAAAAAAAAAAAAACTAATTTCTATAAAGATATAATTTGTATGCGACAAAATGCAATATTAACATATATAAATTATTGATTTTATGAATATTAATATAATAATTACGATAATTAAACAAATATCGACTAAGGCCCATATATATTATATTAGATTGGTTATTTTTTGTAAATTTGCATTTATGTTTATTAAATATTTTTTTTTAATATATGGTAATATTATTCCAATTTGATATTAATTAATTGGAGAAATTGTAATTCCGTTATATTTTGCATAAACAAAAACGAACTGTGACCAAAAATTTAGTGAAATGATGATTTTGTATTATTAAGCTCAGCCAATTTTGTGTTTAGTTGTATTGGCAAACCCAATATTGTATTGAGGTCTATTTATATCGCGAGAGTAAGATATATATGGTATATATTTATCCTTTATTAATAATCTAATTTTTTAACCAAATCAAATTATTATAATTTATAGAATAATAAATTAAACATTATTATTTTTTAAAATATATAATTTTTTTAATAATTACAAATATATATATTTACTTTAAAAAAAATAATACTATTAATATAATATTAAATAAAATTTTTATATTCAAATAAAATATATTATTTATTACACAATTTGTTCCATCAAATTGCAAAATCAAATTTTATATTAATATTATATATTTAAGATATATAATAAATATTGGAAATAATATATATGTTTAATATCTATAATATTAGAAACAATTCTTATTTTTATTAACACTAATATCAACAAAAAAATAAACAAAAAAATGTAATAAAAAAAAAACACACCAAAAAAGAATAACCACCAATAAGAAAAAAAATAGAGAAAAAAAAAATAATTAAAGAGAAAAAAACAAAAAATATAGAAAAAAACACAAACATTTTCTATATTTCACTTTACAATTCTGTTATATATATAATTATTACTATAAGCCTTAAAAAATACAATAAGAATTAAATTTAACATAATAATAGAATTAAAATCCTAAATATGGGAACTCTAATAAACAATAAAAATTACAACCACAATAACAATAATCGCATGTCAAATTACTACGATATATTAAGAAATATAGCATTAACCTCAGCACAACAAACTACAAGAATAAAGAACCGGCCAACAACAAATATGGGGTATAAGTCAATATTCTAACATAAAACGTTCCGTGGTAATATAAACATCTAAAATAAATCAGTTATATAACGTTAATTATTCCAGACCTCTGGGAAGATATATACGGAGTCCTCAAATATAGTTTATTTAGTGTAAAATAAATAGATAAATAGATTAATAAATAAATAGATGGATAGATAACACGACCAAAGGCGCGTAATCTTGCCATACAGTAATACGGCACCTCCTTAAAGGCTTCTTAGGCCGTGTAAAAAATGCAGCTACTTACATAGGGCATATGTGCGCATCTAAATTTGGTAGCAAATTACTCCGCTACGTCTAGAACATATATGGAACAAGTCTAAAACGGGATCTAAAACGATTATGCGAATAATTTGCACTTAGGCATGCTAACAAGCAGTATGTAAACATGGTCGTTTCAACCATATGACGACTAAAAGCGATATCGAACCGGTACCATATCGTATCGAACAAATAACGGCGGGGTTAACCCTAAACATATCTATCAACAAAACCGCTACCCAATTCCATCCAAGTCCAAATAATTACAAACCATGCAATCCTAACCACCAAAGCTCAACAAACAAATCCCATTTAGCACCTCAAACTGCTCTCGAACATCAATTTTAACGCATAATATTGGGAAGATCAATAACCTACCAAATCACCTAACCGTCTGAATCAGAACTCTAAGCTAAACATATACATAAACAAGGTCTAAAACGGAAAGTCTAGAACATGTTTCTAAGCAAAGTCTACAACGAAGATCTTAGAAGTCTAGCTCGCATATGGGTTCCGGACCGTATTCCGGACCTTGTAAATTAACTCGCAGCCATATAATAAAAACCATACTTACGAGAATAAAAAGAAAAGAAAATAGTAACGTTCAAAGACTACGCAAATGCAAATTGCCACCACCCTTCTTCACCAATAATTACTCCCAATACAACCGAGAATTCGACCTAGTGCTACAACTAGTATAAATAACTACATGACAAATTAAAGACACAAACATCAGAATACACATACTCGACCCTACACAAGCAAACAAACCAATAGACCTCTCCAAAAACCTATATTACATCCTCATCAACATCTATCAGGCAATAACAACTACAATAATAATGCAAAACCGCTACAACGCAAATGGATGTAAAACACTACGACTCCTATACAACAGGTTCAGCCTATCAATAGGAACAAAAAGCGTCGGCACCTCATCAAACTA